TGAAATATATAAATTTAAAAAGTAATTAAATTGAAAATTTTGAGTTAATCTATATTTTATTTAATATTTAAACTATTTAATATAATATAGAAATGTACAATCTTAAGAGTTTATTATTAAAATAATAAGATTTTTGTTATTAAAATGACCTATTTATAAATTCTTATCATTTGGCATTTAATATTAACCATATTGTTAGAGATATTAAGAATATTTATTAATAAATTATTATTATTAAAATATAATAAAATAATTAAAAATCAAAAGCAAAATAATAAAATGGGAAGTTTTTAATCACTGATTCAAGAAAATAATTCTTTAAAGACATTTCTTTTGTATTATTTTTTAATAATGTTGAATACAGTCGACTACCTTGTAACACTGTTGATAATTCCATTTTATATTAATTCCATGTTGTACGAGTCACTTAGATTTTACAAATACGTGTGCTGGGCTGTGAACGGCTCACGTATTTGTAAAATCTAAGTGACTCATACAACACGGAATTTATATAATCACTTGGCTCATAACATATACATATGCAGTATATCTTTTACTCATAAAATATTGTAGAGATGATATGTATAGTGTAAAGTTGTGTATTAGTATACAGCATAAAACTTGTAGATGTTACCATTGAAAAAAATCTATGAATCCATATGGCAAACTGTTTCACATTGTCAACAGATCCTTTGAAATCCAAATGGAAACTCCACAGATTGCTATACCAAATCATGACATGAAAACATGGAATAGCTACCACCAGATGATTTTGATGTCTGATTCACCATGTGATTTCTTGAATACTCAACAATTCATAACTGAAAATTCATGTATGAAGAATTTAACATTCTATTTAAATATGATTAACAATGGACTAACATTTTATATTGCAAGTATAGTAACATTTGTAAAACAATTGAACAATTTCATTTTCAAAATGAAGCTTAGTTAAAAATAAAAATGCTTTTTAATATCTTTAAACAATGTTAAAAGTTGAAAATGTGTTTAATAAAAGTGTTTTCATATTTTTGAATATTTTTTACATATCATTAGTAAGGTGACCAGCTAGTTTACAATGAAAAGGAGGACACAAATAAATTGAAGAAAAAAATATTGTAATAAAAGAAACATTTTATTCATTGCAACAATAATACACTATAATAATATTAACTGCATGTGTATATGCCATGTAATAATTCAGTAAGAAGTAAACAAAGCCACTTCCACTTCTCTCAGTCTTTTGTGCGGAACGCATGCGTCTCATAATCACACCGTGCCGCACTGTACCAAGCCTTGATGAATCATCACGTTAAATACAAACACATCACATACAACAGATCGGCTTGGCATTGATAGAATATGGAGGTTTACAGATTAGTCTTCAAATATCAAAAAGGACATGTAGGAGGACACTTTTCAAGGGAGGACAGAACTTAAAAAAGAAGAACTGTCCTCCCTAAAGGAGGACGATTGGACACCTTACATTAGTTAAATTTTAATTTTAAATATATTTGAGTTAATGGAAAAGTGTAACAATGTATTTAAATATTTCTCTTTTATAAACAATTACAGTAATTTTACCTAAATATCTTTTTGAAGAAATAAAGATGAATTTTCATTCCAATGAAAGTAAATCCATACTAACAAGACTTAAATTTTGTTTTTGGTGAAGATGTGATATATTTTCTTTATCATAAAGATTGCAGAAAAAAATTATACCAACTAAAAATAACTAGAACTATGAATGAATTAACAATTCCTAATTAAACCAGTTCACATATAATCTTTATGATAAAAATGAGGAATTATGTTATTCACCAATAAAATTATATTATATTTGTATTTTATTAGTTAAAGTTAGTTAATGTTAAAAGACAGTTTTCTACCTTATTTGAAAACAATTTTAACATTATATGCTGTTCCTATATTTATGAATCATTCAATTATAAGTTATGTCTAAAAAGATTTGTTTCAAAGTTTAAGTCTGAAACTACAAATTTAACGTTGTCAAATACTATATATTTGATTTGCTTAGCCTCATCAAAAGTTATCTGAAAAGCTTTTTAAGCTTTTTGTTCAAACGTTTATTTATATATACAACTGTTTGTTATTTTTATAATAAAATGTAATTTATTTTACAACTGTGAAATAATATTTAATTTTTCTGTTATTGCATTCACTGTGCTTATATTATGACAATGAGAACCCATTTACTGAAGAATGTTTCATAAAATGAATACTGTAGATTCCTAGAATCCTAAGAAAATAAAGTATGAAAATTTAAAAAATCTAAGGAAAATTAATAACTAAATTTTAAATAATTATGAGAAATTCACTATATCCTTATTTTTATGAATTAATATTAAAGATTTCATTTATAACATAACTGAATTATACTTACATATGCATTTAGATTCTGTTAAAATATGATGAGGTTGACAAATTGAGCAATCACGACCGAAAATTCCTTCTTTACAATGGCACTGTCCCGTTATTTTATCGCATATTTGACTAATTGATCCGTATGAATTGCAATTACATGACTTACAAAATCCGTCTTTTTTAAATGGATTTCCATAGTAACCATCTGAGCATCTATTAAATTTATATATCTTAATATTTTTAATATATATAAAATTAATATAAATTTTTAACATTATTTNAATGCAGTTTCAACTGCTTTTTATTTTATAAAATCCGTCTTCTTGCGCCACCAGAGGGCCTTTTAAACAATAGGTAGTCTGTTAGCGCTGGTCAGTAGTAGTCTAAATTCAATACGAACGTTTGTTTCTTGAAAATTTGATCACGATTTAAATACGGTATTTACTTTTAATATTACCGATATTTCATCGAAAAGAAAACGTGTTGTATTATCATTAAAAGGCAAATTAAAGTATCTGTTTCGATTATCCGGATTTTTCCTTATCCGGACTACCTTCATCCCCAATTAGTCCGGATAATCGAGGTTCTACTGTATATACTTTCTTACTACGTTTATTTATATGTAATAATAAAAATACATATATACACAGACTTGCATTTTTATTAGTTTGTTTTTGTTTGTGGGGGTTAAATAATATGTCTAATGTTGATTGCTTCTCTCTCTTCTTCAGGATTTTCAGAATTAATAGCATTGTAATGTAGAGATCCCCAAGCCTATTAACCTCAACCTGGTTTGTATGCCATTCTAAGACCGTTGATCTGACATCCCCCACTTCTTCAAAAGATCTTTAATTAATAGCAGATATCGACATTAATCCTCTTTTTCATAATAAAACATATCTTGCCAAGTTTTTTGGTGTTCTTCATTCAAGACTTCTTGGCATTCTTCTGTCATCAGATCTGTTTCAGGTTCCATTATGAGCTCTTCATGTTCTTTATTTCTCAGATGTGATATTTGTTACTCCTTTAGCTGCTTGAGTTTTCTTAATTATACTGTATCTTTCTTAGATAAGATTGAACTCGCCCTATTGTAGATTTGTTTAAGCCATACTGCCCAGCAACATCAGACATCTTCTGCCACTATCTACCTTTGCTATTATACTCTCACCTTTCAAAAATAAAAACCGACACAAAACTTAATGAGTGCCCATCCAACAGTCTCGCAAATACTATAAAAGAATTGTTTGTCAGAAAAATAAAAAGCTGGAATTACAAGGAGTATTTCAAAGTTCGAGGAATACTATCTGATCATCTATTGGGTTGAGTGTCAACATTGACATCTCTCTCACTCCAAAAAGTTACCTGAAGACAAAGGAAAATCAATTAGTATTTGCTATTTCTGTCGCTTCCTTTTATGTTTGTTCAGTGAAGTGTTCGTTATCTGATCTTGTGTTCGTTGTCCAATCATAAAAATCTTTTGTGAAAGTGTTCGATATCTGATTTGTTCGTTAACCGATCACCCACTGTATTTTTTTATGAAAAATTAAAAATATATACTCTAAAAAATATTCATTTTCTTTACTTAAACAATAAGATAATATAGAATTCTTTAAATGTTTAATTGACAAAATAAAAAATTAAAAACTGAAATATATAATATCACATCTAATATGACATATTTTAATAAACATTGCATGCATATTTTAATACAATTAATATAATGCAGAAATATTTTTTAAAATTATGTATTAGGATAATCCCTATATAAAGGAGGGCTACAGAGTTAATTACAGTGGAACCCCGGTTAACGAACTTAATCCGTTCCGCGACTCCGTTCGTTAACTGAATTGTTCGTTAACCGAAGCAATTTTTCCCATAGAAATTAATGCAAATGCAGTTAATCCGTTCTAGTGTCCGAAATTTTTGTGATTTTATTTGTAATATACAGTAGATTTTCTTTGATGAAAATGTTGGAAAACGTAGTATCTATCATTACAGCAGCAAACAAGTAAACTTTGTTTAATAAAAAGCATTGTACATACCTTCGTTTGTTGTAGTTGGTGTCAGAAAAGTGGAGATATACGAACCTTAATGCTTAGAAGGAGAATCCCTCCAAAAAAATAACTGGTAACACTTGATCGGAAGATTCTTCGAGTCGAAGTCTCTTTCGGTAAGAAAGCCCACCAGTAGCTAAGCGGTCTTCGTACCCTGAACACGGGGAGTTTGTTCGTGGATTCGCACCTCGCTCAGACGGGCTGGCCACGTGGAGTTTTCCGGGTTTTCTCCACGTCTGTAACGCCTAAATAGGGGCCAGTTTTCCTTAAAAACACCTCCTAGAAGGCATTCCCCCTAGGCAGATCGCCTAAGTGTTGCGTTGCCATAACTTAACAAACAAACTAACTCTTTCCGCAAGGAACAAGAAATTGATCTAAAGTTGATTGTCTTAATCTTTTAATCAAAATTTTTCTCAAATGCGATATCACATTGTCGTTTTCTATTGCCACTATGACTTTTTTGTTTCTTGG